TCATTTAAGACAGTCACGGTCGAAAAACGACCTTGGCTTTGAGGTGAAAGTCCTTAAAACGTTTTAAGTTGTCATTAACACGTTTTAAGTTGACCTTAAAACCTTTTACGTTCCCTCCTCGCAAGACATCGGCTCTGCTTCAGAAGCTGACTCTCTCCGCGGAAGAAGCTCGCACCCGTAGAGGGATATATGGATATATGGATATATGGATATATGGATATATGGATATATGGATATATGGATATATGGATATATGGATATATAGATATATGGAAATATGGATATATGGATATATGGATATTTGGATATTTGGAAAGATACGTAGATACTTCGATGAATAATACATGGATACGCAGATACGCAGATATACGTAGATACACAGATACATAGATGCACAGATCAGGAACGTTGCGACGCAGGAAGGGGGGGGGGGTACAGGGCCTACAGCCTACCGTAGTCAACACCGTAGGCTTAACTACCCTAATTCCAGCTCGTTACCCCCCACCAGCCCTCACGGTTTGGGCAATTGGGAAATTACGTACCAATTTTAAAACTCTAAACACCCTGCTTTTGGAGTTTTAAAAATAACCGACGCCGGAATCCGACGGCCTTCCAGGGCATTACGTACCGCCAAATTCGACCATTTGCCCAAACCGTGAGGGTTGGTGGCTATGAACACAGGCAGAAGCGTTGCGAAGCAGCAAGGGGGATGGGGGGTTCATCGGCTCGGGGAACGCAGGCTTCTCTCTCTCTCTCTCTCTCTCTCTCTCTCTCTCTCTCTCTCTCTCTCTCTCTCTCGCGATGCGGGTTCTTGACGGAGAGCGTCGAACGGGGCAACTTCTCCCTACAAATCCTCCTTTGGAAACGCTCTCAGGAGTCCGCTTCGGAGTCCTGGATGGAGGGGAGGTACATGAATAGGGCAACGGCCTGAAAATGGGGTAGTTAGGCCTACGGCATTGCCTAGGACCTCCTACCGTAGGCCGAGACTTTTTGGTCCTAGGATCCCTCGGCCTACGGTAGGAGGTCCTAGGAAATGCCGTAGGCCTAACTACCCCATTTTCAGGCCGTTAGCCTATGAACATCGGCACGGGGAACACAGGCGAGTCGCGATCCGGGTTCTTGGTCGAGAGCGTCGATGCGAACAAATAGACTCAGACAGACTGCCCGCGCCAGGGCACTCGAAACATCCACTTTCGACATCTTTCAAGGGAAATGCCTTGGATTCTTAAGTCAACGACGACAGATCTGTTGTGGATAAGGCGTCGGTTTCCCTTGAGCATTCTGGCGTGGGAGCAGGTGTTTCAAAGTAGGAAAGGGGG